TAAACTTTTTTATCAGGGTAATATATTACAAAAATAACCTGACTTTACCAACCATGTATACCCAAGAAAACATCGATCACGCGCCAGCAGAATCAGAAGCACCACCTTCTCGACCAGAGAGCCCGAAAAACTCAGAAAATTTCGAGCCAGAGATAGAGGAAAAAAATAGCAGGGCATTCTACCGCCGGGGCTTAAAGCTTTTCCTCAATCAAAGATTTCGGAAAGTAAGAAGGAAAGCCAGGTATTTTACTATGATGAAGAAGAATATTTACCGATCCATCTGAGTCGCAATATAATAATCGCTGAAAATGATGACTATGGATCAATAGCAACTATTAATCAGGATTTAATTAATAGGGAAGATATCCCATTTATGCCTTGTGACATAGAGGAATATAATGAGTATATAAATAATACTCCACACTATGTTTTATGACTTTATGGTTATCTTGTTAATGGTCAAAAAGCTGTAGTAACTATTTCAGGTATTAAAGTTTTCTTCGATATTCGTATTCTCAATAATGAGAATACAAAGTTATTTGAGTCCAAGGTAAAGGATATTCTTATTAAAGGAAAAGATGATGAAGGAGAAACTATAGATATGACTATGCTCCGAATAGAATATGTGAAGGCTTTTCCGATTAGGGGATATCATCCAGAAAAATTGATATATTTATGTATTGTCACAAATACAAAAAAACAAAGATCTATAGCTCTTAATATTATTCTAAAACATAATTCAGAAATTGAAGATATGTATAAGCTAGAAACAGCCTCGGATGATACGAAAGCATATTATTGAAAAGTTGCTAGAGAATATAAAATACCACTTTCTAGATGGGCATTATTAACTGATTATAAATACAATAGCAATGGAATGCCTTATAGTGCTCGCTCACTACTATATGAACATACTTTTTATTTATCGGTTAATAATTACCGCTCTATGGAAAATCTCTCAATTTTATACAAAAATTATCCTTCACAACTTCTTACTCATGATCGAGCATTAGTCCTTACCTGAGATATAGAAACACATTTAACGCTTGGATTAGACCATTTCCTTATGGCGAAATATAAAGAGAATAATATATTTATGATTTGTATGACTATTCACTGGAAAGATGATCCTACCCTGTTAAAACAAATCTGCCTTGTTGATATGGAAATGGCATCAGACCCAAATTGGATCACGATTATTTGTGGAAATGAAAGGAATCTATTAAAGGCATTTGCTTTATGCTGGCGGGCTTTAGCCCCTGATATCAAACTCACTTTTAATGGATCCAAGTATGACTAGTCATTTGTAATAGAAAGAGCCACCCAACTAAAAATTCTAGATTGGATGATGGCAAAGATGTCAGCAAACCCACGAAAAAAAGCTACAATTGATTCTATTCTTCATTGGAGTTATTGTGGAGAGGTAGGTGAACCTTTTTATAAAAATTTCTTTCATAAAGAGCAAACATGGGGGTCTTCCAAAAAAGAAAACAAGGGTAATAAAAAGAAAAAGAATCGGGAAAGGATTGAAATTAAAATCACCCCAGATAAAAATTTTATATCTACTTTTTTCAAGGTTCCCGGTTGCGTTTCAATAGATGTGAAAGTATGTTGTGAAAAACTTTATCCGAAATCTGAGAAAAAATCACTCAACTATTTCTTAGGAATATATGGTCTTGGTAGTAAAATAGATTTATCAATAAAAGTTATGAGAGAATATTATACACGAAGCAAGGAGAATACCTCACTCGAGACCGCTAAAAATATACGTAAAATTGCTAAATATTGTATTAAAGATGCTTTAAGTTGTTAAGAACTTATGGTTAAGAGAAATATAATAAATGATTACAGAGAGGTGGCCTCAATTGCATATGTTTCTTTATTCGATTCGCACTACTATGCTGGGGGTATAAAGGTATGTAATCTATTAGGTGCTGAAGCGTGGAAAAGAAATATATTAATTACTTTAATTTCTTCTAAACAAAAAGAAGAAGGCATGTTCCCTGGAGCCTATGTATTTCCACCAGATAAGGGTTTAGAAAATAAACGGCCTATCACGGGTTTGGATTTCGCATCTTTATACCCAAGTATTATAATGAACTATAACCTCTCACCTGAGAAAATGACTCTATTGCCTAAAGAAGCAGATAATTTAAAAGAAGCGGGAGAGACCCTCTATAAAATCAAGTTCCCTTTCAATGGCCGAATTTTACATGCATGGTCTATAAGACATGAAAATAAAAATAATAAAATGAGGTTATATCTATCAGTTTTAAAAAAGCTCTTTAATAAACGAGATAAAATGAAGGCTCAATTGGGAATACTTAGCAATATAAAAGAGTATATAGAATTAGTAAATAGTAAAATAAAAGAGGTGAATTTGTCAGTGGCTGATGCTATTGATCATACTCTGAAAAATGTGGAAGATAAAGAAAAACGTGTCAATATGAATGAAATTTTGATTCCTCTCATTAATGAAACCTATGAGAATTTCATTAAAGAATATGATTCTATCTGTTTTGATCACACTTGCTTGGATTCGAAACAAAAAGCAGTAAAAATTTATATGAATACCTTTTATGGAGAAGCAGGAAACAGTTTATCCTCATTCTTTTTCTTAGAATTAGCTGGTGGTGTTACATCGGCAGAACAATATAACATTAAACTTGTTGCTGAGTATGTGACTAAGAAGAAAGATTTTGGAATCAAATATGGGGACACTGATTCTTTATATTTCACCTGTCCCATTAAATGTTATAAAGAATATGATCTTGCTTATAATGATGGTAAAGGCACAATTTCGAAATTGGGATATTGGACTGAAATGGTTAAAATAACTATGAAAGTAATGGAGAAATTGTACAATGAAGTGAATATGTATCTTAAAATAAAAAGTAGATCAACTTATCTCAAAATGGCTTATGAAAAAGTTCTATTTCCAGTAGTATTTACATATAATAAAAAATATTTCAGAATTGAGTATAAAGATAAGCCAAATTTTGAACCAACAAAAAAACTTTTTATTAGAGGTATCGATACAGTGAAGCAAGATAAGTCCCAACTTTTCAAAACTATAAGAAATCAAATTATGTGGGGTGCAATGGATATTAACAATAATCAAACACTCCATGAGATTGTTGAAGAGGTTCTTAAAGAGGCTATAACCAATCCTAATCAATAGGATTTTGATCAATTTATAGAAACCGATGCATGGAAACCTAATGTAGATAACAAACGTGTCCAGCGATTTATAGGACAAATGAAAGAAAAATATAAAAACAAGATTTCTGATCCAGAAGAATGCTTTAGTTATGTAATAGTTTATCCAGATAAGGTTTTTGATTTATTTGGTTTTAAACTCACTACAGTATAAGAAAGACTGATCAAATAGAATTCGCAGATATTGCAAAAGAATTAAATAGAAAATTGGATCTATCCCATTACTTCGAAAATACTATTAATAGACTTTGTGCCCGATTTATTATGTATGATAAAAAATATGAACCACCATCTATTGACAAAATCATGAAGATTAATGATTCAGATGAGAAATATAAACAGATTGATACATATACTCAAAACAAGGCCAAGAAGTGGCTTAAGTCATATATCAAGGAGATAAATGTGATAGATGGAATCGCTCCTAAAATAATATCTAATCATGGATATGCTTACAAACGTGCTTACAAGAATGCAATCAAAACCGCGCAATCTATATTATATCAGAAGGTAGGTAATATCTATGAGATATTTTATAGGGAATAGCTTAATTTTGAAGATTTTAAGGCAACCAATAATGTCGAGAGATTATGGGAAAAGTTTATAGAGTATGCCAGAGCATATACTGAAAATGATAATCTCTTGATAAATGAATGGATAAAAAAATCAATATGCTCTGATTTTACAAAACATCTAAATATACTTATCCCAATTATCGAGAAATATGATGTTTTCTTTTATAAGTTAGTATATCATATGCGATATAAAGAGCATATAACAATCCCAGATAAAATTGGCCAACCTGAGACTATAAGAAAAAATGAGATAATTACTAAACAACCTACCTTATCCCATATATCGAAAACAGATCAACTAGCACTTGAGAGTTTTTTAAATACATGGAACAAGGCAGTCAGCTCACTATAAATATATCTTTATATTACCATCGTATATATTTTTTTGTACATAAATAATACCCAAGTTTAAATAGATAGTTCCTAATACCTAGTCCATGTATCTCGTAACCGATCATTTTTTTTACTTATACTCAATCCACGTCTCAACACTACGAACCACACAACCACAATAATTAACAAAGCAAGAAAAATATATGCTGATAGCGGTGACATCAAAGTGCTTGCCACAGCAGGAAGAGGCAAAGCCTCAGGACCAGGCCTTATCTGAGAATTCAATTCAATTAAAGCAAACATATTATCCTCACTAATTTCGTTAATGCTAGTTTCATTACTTACCTTGGAGTTGCACCAACTATGGGTTTCGATATAATCTCCGATTTTAGACACTCAAGCTCATTGACCTTTGATGAGACATAGTCTCGAGGCTTCACCTCTTCCAATTCGCTTTTTATATTTTCTAATTCAGCTATTTTGGATTTGAGGAATGCGATCTCAGTTTCTTTTTTCAATAAGTCACTTTGAATCAAAATCATATCTTTCTGGGCTGAAGATAACTTACCTTCCAATATTTTGATCATAGACTTGAGTGATTTGATTTTTTTAGATTTTATATCATTCTCAGCTTTGGACTTCACAAAAGAAATGTCTTTATTAGCGTTTTCAATCTGTAAATGTCTAGCTTTATCAATGAGTTCGAAATCATGAGTGCGTAATTTCTGGATCTCAGTATTAGCCCCTCCCAGTTTTTTACCCCACTTCTTTCTATCCTGATTCCATTGTTCTCTCTCCCAATTAATTTTTTTTTCTTGTTTTTCATACCTATCCCGCAATTTAGCATTATATGAGACTATCTCGGAAGAATCTTGGAGGGCGATATATAATTCTTTCTTAAGGTCTATCACATTGTCCATATTAAATAAAGAGAATTATTATGAAAAATAACAAAATATAGAACATATATATGATAAAATATATGATAGAGACACTATTACTTTGTAATAACTCTTCGAGTCTAGCTCTGCTATAATTATCTGGTAATGCTATCAAAGAAATTACACTTTCAATATAATTCAACAATAATAGATAATTACCGATTTTTTTAGAAAATTATTGAATATTAAGTATGTAATTACCTATGATTACCAATCATTTTTTAACATAAGAGAAATAGGAGTATTTTAGTATTTTCAATAATTTTCGATAATTTTTTATAATTATAAAAAGGATGGAACACATAACTATAGAGTATTATTGTGCTAGTACTCCTTATTTATCACCAATCTCGAGGGACAGTTAAAAATGCATGCAGGGAAATGGCTAATAGATATAGTACTTCAACTTGTAGAATATATGAAATTTGGAAAAGACATGCTGAAGGCATACCCTTGCGCAAACAGCAACTAATACATAGTGTTGTTTCTTCTGAAATAATGTCTGAAAATAATACTTCAAATAGAAAGTCAAAGAAAAAAAACACAGGATCCAGTTCTAGATCTGTTCGGGTATCTGATTCAGTAAATATTCTGATAAAAAAAGTAGTTGAAATAGATGATTTACAAGCTAGGCTTGCACAAAATCGCAAAGAAAGAGAAAAAGCTAAACATGAGATGAAAAGAGTCTTAGATTCCAACTAATCTACTTTTGTTTTTTCTAGAGTAGTTTGTAG